TAGGATGTATCACTTCATGAACAAAAAGGCGCCCATCATAAAAATTGACAAAAAATCGCCGGATCAAAGAAAAATCAAAGCAATTCTTCAAGCGCTAGATGAAGACCCAAGAGCATCACTCAGAAGGATAGAGGAGATGACAAAGATACCACGTACAACAGTCAGTTATTATCTGCACAATTATTTGAACTACAAACTAGCGTATACACGTTGGGTTCCGCACAACCTTAATTCAGTTCAAAAAAAATCTAGAGTCCAATCTTCGAAAGAGCTCCTCTCTATATTGGGTGCGTATCAATCCAAGAAGTTTCGCTTTTTAGTAACAGGGGACGAGTCTTGGTTTCAATATGCAACAGAAGCCAAAATCATGTGGATCCCGAAGGATGAAAATCCGCAAACATTCCCGAAGAAAAAAATTGACACACCAATGATGATGTTGTCGGTTTTTTGGGGCGTGAATGGCATCATCGCAATTGATATTCTTCAAAAACCTAATACGATGAATGCTCAGTATCTAATTGACAATGTTCTTACTCAAATTATCAATTCTGATGAGTTTGAGAAATCCAAACAACAAAAACAAAAGTTTGCAATTCATTTTGATAATTCAAGAGTTCACAAAAGTCATAAGGTAATGAATTACTTGGTGGAAAACAATGTCAAAGTTGTTCCAAACCCAATTTATTCACCTGATATTGCACCCTCTGACTTTTATTTATTCGGCACGCTAAAAAAGAGAGCTGAAGGACGCGAATTCGCGAGTCCAGATGATCTTGAAAATTTTGTAAGAGAGCAATTTGAGCAATTTTCTCATGATGATTTAAAGCGTGTCTTTCAAGCCTGGATCGATCGCTGCGAACGCGTGATTGAATCCAATGGTGATTATATTTAAATAAACTTTATATATATGTAACTTGTTTATTTCTATTCGCAGTATTCAGGTTTGTGCTAAACACACCTTTGGACACCCTATATCTAAGTTTCTTATTATTGGTAAAAAGTTTATGTAATCATTAATGTATTTTTCATCAATGTGACCCTTTACTTCAGCCACGAATAAAGTATTTTTCTTTCTAATTATTCCTAATGCTTTTGCTTTCTTTGTTGCTGTATCACAAATGATAACACCATTCAATCTTCCCGGCATATACATTTTATGGTCAGTATATTGAATGAATTCATGAGGATTAGATGAAAATGATGAAGGATATAATGAATTAAAATCAACACCAACGAAATGAGTCATAATGTTGGTGGTGTCCTCATTTGATACAGTTTTAGTTTCTGGATTATATGCAAGTTTATTAATGTGCGTGATTCCTTTAAGATTTACTCTATGTTGAACATTTGATAATCCACCAGTAATTCCATTACGGAGAATGTGATAAGCTTCAACTGAATCTAAAGTCATTGGTAAATTATTTTTTAATGCATAATTTCTTAAATTGATTCTTAAACGTTGAACATCTTCATCTTTATTTGATTTTACGACATTGCAATAACAACACATTAACTGACAATTTTCTTTGGTATGTGGTTTTTCATTATCGATTCTATCCAATGTTGGTTTATTTGCATATGTAAACACTTTACCACATATTTTGCATTTAGATGAAAGGATTAAATCGTGATAGTATTGAAAATCATCCATTGAAACATTATTTTTAGTATCCCTTTTTGCTTTTTCATCTTGTTTCTTATATGATTCAATTTTATATTTCCAATACTTTTTCGTTAATTCAAAACTTGATTCTATCTCTTCCTCAGGATATTTTTCATTAGGATTAAAGTCTTTATATGCTAAAGCGTAACGAATCATTGAAGCATTCGATGATAAAGAAAGATTATGAAGCGTGTCAATTTTATAAACAAATGTTTCTTCAATAATTTTATCAATTGGGCCAATCATAATTTCAACATCTTTATTGCAATAATGAATAAAATATTCTAATCTATTCTTAAAATTTTTAGCATCATCGAGATATATTTGATAATCACTATCTGATATAGTTTCTTGAGTTAATGTTGAATAAAATGAATCTTGAGTGAATGGTTCCACTTTATATAATTCTTCTTCGTAATTTTCCCACGTGATGAATTGATAAGGGAAAAAGGATTTAACACGTGATTTATTGTTTCCGAAATCTTGAGTGAATTGATCTAATGTCCCACCCGCTATATAATTTCTGATGTCAATAAATCTCAATTCATATGGAACGTTTGTTTTCTTTACAATGATTTGCTTAAATTGTGAAGATGAACCCAGCATTGATTTTATTTTCCATTTTGCAGTGTTTAAATCATGAAGAATTAAATTTAAATCAAACTTTCCCGAATTAAAACCTATGATATTCACTTATTAAATTCCTCATCTAGAAGTTCTTTAAATGCTTCCTTCTGTTTTTCATTTAATGTATGAGACAAAGTCCCCACCGTTTGCGACTTCAATAATTCTTCATATTGTTCAATATTTGATTTAGCAACTAATGAACAGGTTGAAAATAAAAACTCAATCCAATCAGAAATAAAAGAATCACTCGAAGTTAAGCAAAAATTCCTCGTATATGTTTTATCGTTTAATTTAACCGTTGATGATACCATGAATGGTTTTAAGTAAGCGTTCAAAGTTGCACACTCAGAAAGTTGTAATTCTTTTTTAGTCTCTAATGTTTCGAAGTCAAAAGTAATATAATATCTTGTCGGTTGATAATATTCCTGCAAATTGTGAGCTAATAACCACTGATATATCTTCTGTTTCGTAATATGTGGTGCATATGGTTGCTGGGTCTTTTGCAACTGAACGTCTTGAATTAATCTCCCATTATTTTCTTTACATTTCTCACAATGCTTTAAAAATCTTCTTTGGTTTTTCCTTTCCGGATCATCACGGATAGAATAAACTTCTTCTTTACAATATGGACAAACTTTATAGCCGGTGAGTGCTTCAACGTCTGTTATTCTGTCAGCGTGAAGTTTTCCACATGGACTCTGTGTTAATAAAATATTTACTGTTTCAAATTCTGGATCTATCATTATTGATTCCACTAATGGAAAGTCTACCTTATTTATGTCCACGTCTTCTGGTTGAGGATCACAATAATAGAAATCAATATTAACATTTAACATTCTCGCTAATCTCTCACTTTCTGATGAAATGTCAAACCCTTCATATGCATCTATTGCTTCATTTAAATAGCTTCTACGAGTTTTAGGATTAACACCATCAGGAATGTTATAGAAGCGTTTAAATAACCTTCTACCTTCTGCTCTAATTTGATTATCATTCATTTTAGCTGTTCCATTTTTGTTCATTTATGTAAGAATAAAAAATAAATAAAAATAAACTTTATTTTTAAAGTCCGTAAAATGAATTAAGAATACATAAATTTTTATCATCCGCGACGTGACGAATACATTTTAATTTACTCAAGAATGTGTACCCCGATACATTAAATCTAATTCCTGTCTTATTTAATTTCACAACTTTGAAAAGGAATGTATGAATAGCTATAAAATGATGAGAAGATGTTTTATGGGTTGCTTCCATTTTTTCTGAAATAAATGAATAAATATAATGTTTATACGTTTTCATATCTTTTATGTTCTTAATAACGAATGGTATAGACCTTTCAACTTCGTCTTCCTTCGGTGCTGTTCTTTCATATGAAACATTATTGGTATCTTCAACAATGAAACCATAATCACACAAAATTTTATAGGTTCCAATGGTTTCTTTTGATATTTTATCCAATAAATCAAAAACTTTATCAACACCCGTGCATTTATTTAAATAATAATTTGTGTAAATATCATGATCTTCTTTCTTAATCGTATTATTTGCATATGTCACGTTTTTTAGTGCTTTTTTGAATTTTTCGGAATCTAAAGGTGGTGAAAGTAATATACATGGGTATTCTTCATTATCAATAAATTGTAACTTATGTTTACGAATAAATTTAATACATTCTTCTGAAAGTGTTTCGTCTATTTCACCATCTAATAAATTTTGTGTTGATTCTGAGACATAATTTTTATATCTTTCTTCATGAGATTTCTGAACTTCTGATTCTGAAGCTGGGATATTCATTAAACCCTCTACTTCATTTTCATTATATTTTTCAACTTCTCTTAATTCCTTAATTTTTTCATCTATTTCATCTCTTATTTTTTCCAGTCTTTCAATTTCATTATATTCGTCATCTTTAATCCGTTCTTCATAATATTCAGGGAAAACATCAGGTTCTTTAGGTTTTTCTTCTTCAGATGTGGGATATAAGAAATTTATAACATCACCTTTATTCATTTTTCCATCATAACCAAATTCATTTAAAAACTCCGCGAATTTTTTACAATTTCTTAAATAATATTTATCAACTTTATAACCCGCCTCCTCTAATATATCCTTTATTTCCACGTTTGTGAATCCTAAATTTTTAACATTGTTAGTTTTGACGCTCATTTCTTACGAAATAAAAAATAAATTATTCAGAAATGTAAGATATGAATTTTTAAAGTTTATTTTTCATTCATGATAATCATTAGTTTCTTAAAGTTCAATGTTGAACTCAATCTTTATTTTTAACATTGGTTTAATTAATCGTGGAATATCTGACATCATCTATATATAATTTTTTTTATTTCATCATGTTTGGGCTGAGTGTAAATGTCTTACGTTTACAAAATTTTTTAAATCTTGATTTATTCAAAAACGTAAGAATAAAAACCGTAAGAATCATACATTTTTTACTTCATATGTTAAAAAAATGATACAAAATCATTCAATATTGTATGAATTCTTACGTTTACAAAAAAAGTCACACAACCCGTCATATATACTACTTTATAAGTATAATAATTTACGTGCATTTTTTGCATGTTTTGAGCAAGATCAATATGCCTCTGATAGTTCTTTTGATTCTCAAATCTTCAATTTCCCTTAATTTTGTGAATACTTTTTAACACATGGAGCTAGTCAAGATGATAAAAAGGCAGCACTTCGAATGGCAATAGAAAAGAATAGAATAGAAATAGCAAAACTTATAATTTCCCATGGTGTAGAACTTAATGCCAGACTTAATGATAAGGGACAAAGCGCTCTTCACTATTCCGCATCATTAAACAGAAAGGAAATTATACAAGCTCTGCTTTCCAAAGGTGCTTATGTATTCATCCAAGACAACTATGGTCGTACTCCACTGCATTGTGCAGCACTAGAAGGTAGCACAGAAGCAGCGAAAATTCTTATTTCATATGGAGCAAATGTCAATACCCAAGATGATTATGGTAGAACTCCTCTTCATTGTGCATGGAAAATAAATATGGCTTTAATATTTGTTTTAACATCACATGGAGCAAGTATCAAAGCAAAAGATAAATATGTATTTACACCAATAGATATAATTATGGAAATGAATGGATTATTTAAATTACTATTTTTATTATGGAAATATGCTCCTTGGTACTTAAAACTATTCATTATTTCAATTATAATGATTTTGTGGCAGAAATGGAAGTAAAAAGTTCATTCATATTTCGCAAACTGATTATAGAATAAAAAAAATCTTAATTATATCATTCAATCCTCTAGAATGATGGTATTTCACCAAATTGGAATACTTGATTTCTATGTTTTTCTCAAGAAATGACCAAAAAAAAATTTTTTGAATGTCACTTTTTAAAGCATGACTTTGTTAGAAAACACTCAAGCATTTGAGAAGAGATTATTTGAATGGGAAGGACATCTAATTCAATTAGAAGAAGATTTAAATGCCCTTGGATCAAAATTTGAAGCTCAGTCGAATTATTATTCGGCTGCTGAAAGCAATCTTGATCAAATAGAAATGAATTTGCAAAAATTCGAATCTCTTGTCACTATCTTCGAAGAAAAGTCTGGTAGTAATGAATCAGAAGCATTTAATCAAAATATCCAAGGTGCAAAAGGATTATCACGCCAAATTGAGGATTACGAAACAGAGCTTAAGATTGCTCAATCTAAACTATATCATGACCCTCCAGAAAATATGACAAACAAAGAATTAACAGAACATCTCGCTTCTCTTTTCTCATTATACAATCAATTAGCCCAAAAAATGAAAAGATATCGCTATTATTATTAATGCACTAATACCTTATTGAATTTACTCGAGATTAATATTATTGGTCATTTTAAATTACATATACATAGAAAATTCAAATTGGTTTCCTTTAATTAACTCTTATAATTCAAAATTACATTTTAATTCCTTTAATTGGTTGTAAACTCTCATTGAAATAATTTTGTTTACAACGATTTGTTTTAATGATACTCTAGAGTAAGCTATCGGCAACGGATTCCAGAGTATAAATACCCTATATCTTATTAATATATTAGAAATTGTTTTGTAATAAAAATTTTCTATTTGAAATATCACTATTTGCCTGATATATTTGAAATACCCTATTGATTCAAAAATTGTTCAAAGGTTAAAATTGGAAAACTGGTTGAATTCGTCAATACCAAATACGAAATATCATAATTCATCGAATATTAGTGATAGGATTAGATGTTCATCGAGAATCAATGTATGATTTTGATATTAGGATCGTCTTGTAATCAATAATTTTTTGAAATAAATTGTATAATCCTGAACTAGATTATATGCTAAATATTATGAATTGGCATCGACACATGATATAAAGCATATCAAAAATAACTCGATTTTAAATTTTTGAAATCGAAATCTCTAATTTTTCGGATACAATACTTTTTAATATAAAAATATGGAAGGTATCGACTTTGTGGAATCGAAGACTAATCCATGAATTAGAAAAATAAAAATTTAAAAAAAATTATTATTTTTTTGTAATTGATTAAATATAAACCGATTTAGTTCGACATTTTCTTGGCTTTAGCGCGAAGGTCCTTAAGCTTGTTGAACAAGATTTCGTAAAGTTGTGATGCCTCAGGGCACTCTGCAGCGAATCTCTCCAAGATTTCTTCAGGGATGGTCCATTTCTTATCCTGGGAAGCAAGTCCAGAAATAACTCCGAATGGGGAATTGACCTTTTCGAGCATTGAGTTGTGGATAAGTCCCCACTGATCATTATAAACGCAAATATACCAGCCTGTAGCGTCTTCGCAAACTGATTGGACAACGGCATTTGCAGGAGCCTTAAGGATGTATGGATAATCTATTTGATTCTTCTTGACTCTGTACAAGTCTGTATTGCTAGTAGATCGGAATCTCATCAATGGGTTCTGACCGAAGATTAAGTCGAAATTCTGGAATATTGCTGTAGAAATGCTTTGTTGGACAGCGGATTCATTGTAAGCAGCGTTGGCCGATTCTTCGTTGCAAGTAACAATGGACGGGCCGATACAAACGCCGAGAGCACGCTCGCTCATCTTGTTCTGGTCGGCGAACTCGAGAATTTTCCTGAGATGTGAATACATATAATGCAAAAGAACGTAATTTGGAAGAGGAATTGTGCGAACAATTTGGGAGACAGGCTCGCCCTGCTTATCTTCTGGAAGATTAGCGATGGTTTGTAATGCATCGTAATTTTTCTTGAGAAGAATCGAGTCAGGTGTAGTACGAAGATACAATTTGATAAGGCCTGTGGCTGTGTGAACGTCGGAATAGGAAACTTTCTCATTCATGTTAATCTGTTTCTGAAGAGTTTCAATATTAGCGCTAGAGCCATTCAAACGGTAGATACCTTCGACCTTTAGACCATTAGCATTAAGATAATCAACGCCGGTCTTAATGAAATATGGAATTGGGAGTGGTGTTTCTCTATCATCTGGGTTAATCTTGAGAGCATTGAGAAGAGGTTTATTAAAGATTGTAGTTTTGCTTGCCTTTGTGATTTCGTTGATCCATTCTGTACGCTCTGCTTCTGTTGGGGATCTGAAAAGATAATCAGTACGAGCAGCGGAAGCATTTGGAGCTAAATGGAGTTTGAAATAAAAACCAGGTCCTTCTGTCTCTGGTTCTAATGTTAGTGTGGTATCAATAAGTGGAATCTTACCTAGTTCTTCGGTCATTGTCGCATCTTTGAAATAGTACAATGTTACTTCGCTAATGACAAAAGTTCTCTTCTTCCAGTTCTTAACATTGCCTCCGCATTTTTCCATCGTACCCTTATAGGTAATCTTTGAAGGGTCAAAGTCACTCTGCATGCGAAAATAGCGGTTGTTGCGAAATTGAAAGAAACTACTTTACATGAATATCGTTTGATGTGCAATTTATCATCAATGGTTTGGATTTAGAAAAAGAGTAAGAAAGCATATTTATTTCGTTTGGATTTCATTTCCGAATTTCAGATGAAAAACGGGGTTGCGACATCAACGATAAATATGGTTGAAAGGAAAATCATCCCCAATGATGATAAAAAGTGAGATGAAGTAATTTTAGAATGAATTTACGATACAGAAAAGCATAGGGAAATAAATGTAATCGATTTCATTAAAATAATTAAGCCGGATTAAAATGCAAAGTAATTTCTACACTAGCCAATGCCTAAATCACGTATAGAATAGGTAATCACTCCAAATACCAATAAGAAATTTCATTCCAAATTAAATTGCACAAAGAAATGTTTGTTTCAATACAAAATATAACAAGAAGAAGGCAATAGACAGTATAGTTAATATGGAAAAGAACCAAAATATAATGGATATATAAAATAAAGAATTTTGATTTTATGAAAAAGAAAAAAATTTAGAAATTAGAAATAAAGCAAATAAGCTAGACATTATTTACTTGATTGGGTTTGGCTTCTTGTTGACGGAACGGATAACGCCGACAGCGACTGTCTGCTTCATATCACGGATGGCGAAACGGCCGAGTGGTGGGTACTCCTGGAAGGACTCGACGACGAGTGGCTTGGATGGGACAACCTCGACGATAGCGGCATCATCCTTCTGAATGTATTCTGGGTTCTCTGTAGCCTTCTTGCCGTGGCGACGATCGATACGCTGGATGAGCTTGTCGAACTTGCAGGCGATGTGAGCTGTGTGGCAGTCGAAAACTGGCTGGTAGCCGGCGTGGATCTTGCCTGGGTGGTTGGAGATGATCATCTGAGCTGTGAAGGAAGCGCATTCGACTGGTGGGTCACGCTTTGTATCACCAACGACGTAGCCACGCTTGACATCAGCTGTGGAAACGTTCTTGACGTTGAAGCCGATGTTGTCACCTGGAAGAGCCTCTGGAAGGGATTCGTGGTGCATTTCGATGGACTTAACTTCAGCTGTAACTGTGGATGGGGCGAAGTTAACGATCATGCCTGGCTTCATTGTGCCGGATTCGACACGGCCGACTGGAACTGTACCGATACCGTTGATCTTGTAGACATCCTGGAGTGGAAGACGGAGTGGCTTGTCGAATGGGCGCTTTGGTGGCTGAAGGGAATCGAGGGCTTCAAGAAGGTATGGGCCATTGTACCATGGCATGTTTGGAGACTTCTCTGTCATGTTGTCGCCAGCCCAGCCGGAGATTGGGACGAAGCGGAACATTTCTGGCTTGTAGCCGATGCCTGTAAGGATGCGTGTCATTTCGGCTGTGATTTCGTCGAAACGGGCCTTGTTGTAGTTGACTGTCTTGTCATCCATCTTGTTGACGGCGACAATGACCTGCTTGATGCCGAGTGTGAAGGCAAGAAGAGCGTGTTCACGTGTCTGGCCTTGTTCAGCGATACCGGCTTCGAAACCACCGAGTGTGGAGTCGATGACAAGGATAGCAGCATCAGCCTGGGATGTGCCTGTGATCATGTTCTTGATGAAGTCACGGTGTCCTGGGGCATCAATGATTGTGAAGGAGAACTTCTGGCCTTCGAACTTCCAGAGGGAGATATCAATTGTGATACCACGCTCACGTTCAGCCTTGAGGGAGTCCATAACGAAGGCGTACTTGAAGGAGGACTTGCCGAGTTGTTCAGCTTCCTTTTCGATAGCAGCAAGTTTACGCTTATCGAGACCGCCGCACTTGTAGATGAGGTGGCCTGTTGTTGTGGACTTGCCAGCATCGACGTGTCCGATAACGACAATATTGATATGCTCTTTCTCCTTACCCATGAGAAAACAAAGTGAAGGACCACGATCCTTTACGAGTTAACAAAATTGAGCCCAAAAATTTGAGAGAAATTGTGAGCATAATAAAAATTTGAGAAGACCTCATTTGTGGGAAATTTTCGGCTTGCCATGGTCCTGGTTTCAATACCTTAAGATTTCAACAATCATGATATAATATTGTTCTTATAATGTACTATAATTGATGTATTTTTTGGGCCGATAGACCGTGATTTTTATGTGGCATCAATCACCAAAAAATGATAATAAAATATGATTTCTGATGCTGATCAATATGCTTTACATTTCATCAATTGAAAAAGTTTTTTATTGAAAATTGAAACAAAAATGAAGGGATTGCTTTTGTGATTTGATGCCACATGGGGATAAACTGGATATTCTTCTTTTGATTTCCTCTGAACTTTGCTTTATTCGCGTCAAAAAATCAATTGTTGCAAAAATATTTGAAGCGAATGCTTCTTTCATTAATAAATCATAAATAGATATGGAGCTTATAACAAATTATGCTAAATCAAGTTCAAAATATTTCCAAATTTTTTTTGAAATTTTGTTTTTAAAATGAATTTTTTATTTATTTTCGACGTTTTTCATTCATTGCGATTTTTTTGGAAAATCTGAATCAATAATTTGTTATTACTAATATATTCTAACATGATGGAGGCATAATTTTTCTGAATTCATTCTATATTTCCGAATTTGAATTTCATATTTTCATTATTGTTAAGAACCAATGATATGTTTTATTAATTTATCTGAAATATATTCATTTAATAACATAATGGCTTTTGTTCACTAAATTTCAAAAAAAAATTTGAACATATCCTTTCACAATATCAACAAATAAGGATGTCAATTTGGAAGAAAAGTGAGAAAATTCCTAAAATGCTAAAAATGAATTTTCCAAACGTATTTTTTTATCTCATTTTTTTGATTTTGAAAAAAATTTGGAGAGAAGAACTCTTCGTTTTTGAATTTTATCACGATGGTTTTAAAGTATATTAGACACATGTATTGGTATTACTATTTTTGTATACTTTGAGAGAAAATCCCTAAAAAGTGAGAAAATCTGAGACGGTTTGAGAAAATATATAAACTATTGAAAATTTGAATTAAACTTCTAATTTGGAAAAAAGAAATTTGGAAAGAAGAAAATTCAAAAATCGAGATTTAGACTCAGCATCAAATGGAGAACAAAATGTTTCTTCATATGAAGGCAAAAAATTTTCTTGTGAACAAATAGAGTTTTTAAAATTTTATTGTATGTAATGAAATAAACAAATATTAAAATTATTTTTTGATAACAAGAAAATTCCCAATAGAAAATATTTGAGAGAAAGAAAAAAAGAAAATTGAAAAATATTACTCTCCTTTATATTTCATGAGATTTTAAATTTATTCTCATAAAATTAACAAATATCTTAAATATCTGGATCACTCACATATACAATGAATTGAACGATAAAAATAATACAAACTCAAATAAGTTTCCTGTCTTTCAACTACAAAAAATTATGCAAATTAAATTAAATTGTTTATTCAAATATAAAACAAAGATGAAGTAATTACAGTTATCATGGACTTTATGAATAACTCTGTAATTGGCTCAGATTTTCGTAAAAATATTTTTATTAATATCGATAAGAATACGTTTACCTACTATCACAACATATCGATAAACAAGAGTAGAGTGATTTTTATCATCGAAACTTTTTAAAAGCTGTAAGCTGGAAGGAAAAATCTTGTTTTTTCTGAGTTAGTTGTAGAACTATTGATGCACGAGTTATCATTGTGATGTAGAAGGATGTCGATGTACTGACTGAAGGATATGAAGTGAATTGAATTTCATTGAATTTCAATTTGATCAAAATTTGTTGAAATGATATGAATGTGTCAACATCTGTATCACTCTCTTTCACTCCTTCCCTATTCTTTCGAGAACGAAGCTAGCTCAGCTTTCGCTGAGCGAATTGACACTTTTGATGTCCTAAACGTACATGCTCTCAAATTTATCGAAAAAATTATACCACCTAAACTAGTATATTCTTATTTTAAATATGATATTATCCTTAGAATCCACACTAGAATATATTTAAATCAACTTTTAAAAAAGTTCGAATCCTGCGCGTCTCACTTTTTAAATTTTCCAAAAGGAAAATTATATTCTCCTAAAATGAAAACAATTTTCCGAATTGACATCCTTACAACAAAGTATCTTAGATTTTCTTACAAGAAGCTGATTTATTCATACTCTTATCCTACGATTGCAAAACGAACATTTTGGGAATTTCCAACTTGAATTTTGGAATATTTTGTGATGAACCGTATATGCCTTGGCAATGAGATTCCTTACACATTATCATTTGATAAACAATGACGATTACCATGTTTGATTTTTAAGGTTATAAAACTTATCTATTAAATTAATTCGATACATTATTTTATTCAAATTAATTAAAATCTAAATTTACAAAATTGAATGACACTTTTTATGGAGAAATTATCCATATATTTTTTATATGAAAATATTAATATTATCATAATAATAAATACTTTTTAATTTTCTCTTAAATAATATTTTGTTCAAAATTTATTAGATGATATCTCTCCTCGTGAAAGGAGAGAGATATTTTTTTGATCAGGTATTAAAAGGAGCTGAAAACGCATCTTGCTGTTTCACAGTAAATTCATCACATGCAATTTTAAAATGGACAGACGATTTGCAATGTAAAGAATATTTCGAAAAGCTCTTAATTTGGCAGGTTACAAATCGAATTCCTTCTGCTGAAATTCTTACAAGAAAAGTATCTTTAGCTATGTGCATCAATGAAGTTTTGAATTTTTTTCCAAACGAATATAAATTCATTCCTAAACAATACATTTTGCCTGATGAAATGGATAAGTTTAAAAATATGCTGAAAACAACCAAGAAAACATGGATTATCAAACCAGATCAAGGATCTCTTGGAGCAGGGATTACTATTGTTGAACCCCAGGCTGGAATTGATGTTCCGGAAGAATCCGCTGTTGCACAAGAGTATATTGATTCTTATACCATAGAAAACAAAAAATTTGATCTCAGAGTTTATGCACTCGTTGCATCCTTGAACCCTTTAAGAATTTACGTGTACAGAGAGGGTATTGCAAGATTCTGTGCCGAAGAACAAGGAAAAGATCCAATATTTAGCAGAATCACAAACGTTGGCTTAAATAAGCAAAAAGAGACAGATTTTAAGCAGATATCCCGCTTGATATCAGATGTATTTGAGAAAATGCGAGAAAATGGTATTAATACAGACATTTTATGGCAAAAAATTGATGACTGCATTATTAAAACAATTTTATCCTCAATAAATCGACTACATAAAGCAGAACTTGCTAAATGCCCCCCACACTTGTACAGTCGATGTTTTCAGATATTCGGCTTCGATATTTTACTTGACAAGAATTTAAATCCTTGGGTTCTTGAAGTAAACTACAGACCAATGCTGGAGGCGCATAGAGGTGTTGAGAGACGAATGAAAACGCAACTAATTACTGATACTATTAAGATTGCCGTTCCATTAAGAAAAATTCAAAGTATTCTTTCATCAAGACTATATTCTTGGGACGAATCCATGTGGAGAATGTTTGTAATAGGCCATCCAGAGCTCAATAATACTATTGCAAACGAAAGAGCACTTGGTGAATCCGGCTCAAACTACAAAAAAGTTTTTGGACCTGGGGTTGAAATGAGCGCCGAAAACAAGCGGATTTATGAGACTGTTGTGAAGCTTCCAGTGAGCCATATTCCTGGGTTTGAATTATCACATTTGAAAGTTGAAGGAGGTGAAGCATGATGCCATTCATGTTTATATTTTTTATAATTATTTTTGTTTGTTTTTATCCATGCATATAAATAATTTTTTACTTCATGAAATGATCATATAGTGTTAGACCCAAAAAAATGATATATTGCTGTCATCATCATTTCAGGCTGGAATAATAAGAATTATAGTTAACTTCACAATGAACAAATGTTTTAAATACATAGAATTGAATAATGAATTGTTCATAGTTTAATGGAGGATTTATATGATGTAATGGATGATGATTTGATCCGCATCAATGTCATTCATGGGAAGTAAGCTTGAAATCCGATGTATTCATTTCAAAAGAGAATCAATTTGATTAATCAAGACATATTTATGATATGATTGCGATTTTATACAAGTAAAAAAGACCTTCAATTTATTATTGATTTTTTGTAAAGTTGATTTTTTCAAAGCTCATTCGAAATTTTTGTCAAATTTTTTCATAAAATAAAAATAAAAATTTGTGGTGAATAAAGTCTTTTCAGGGGGGTTATACCGTGATATTAGCCTTGTACCGAAAAAAAGTGACGGGCAATGCCGTAAAATAATATTTTATTAAAAAATTTTTGGTGGAGAATTGGAAAATTTTTGTTGGAAAATTGGAAAATTTTCCTAATCATTTGGACTATAACCTGGCATATTAGGGAGTTTTGTCAACAACTCAGTGCTGGGATCAAGATAGTTTGTAATCCAAAAGTAGAAACGTTCCTTGGTGTCTTGTTCTGGCTTCCTGCAAAATCTGTGACTTGCAGGATTCTTCTTAATATTGTCAGAAATTGCGCAAATCATGTCCATCATCGTCAATTCTTCACCATTGATGTTAAAACGATTTCGATTACGGTAATTTCTTTTCTCTTGCAATTCTTTTTCTGCAGGAGTCAATTCACGAACATACTTATTATGTTTGAGAGCTTCTACAGAACAAGGGCAAAGACCGCAGGCGGCAGCAGCATTTTGAACCGTTCTTAATGATACTGATTCTTGCCATGCGCTAATAAATGAGTAGATAATGGCGTAGCGCATCATTGCAGCATTGCTGTTGAACTCTTGCTTCGGTGCCTTAATGTAATCTCTCAGATAATCCGTGAATTTGGACTTTAATCTTTTGGCAATGCCAACATCATATACTTGTAAAATGTGTGTTGTATGTGCGGGAAGAACAATTAATTTGATGTTGGCACTTGCCAAAAGGAACAATGCCAGAGGATTCTCGCGGCTGGAGTGTCCATCACACACAATGAGAGCAGGCTTGTCACGTATATCTTCTGGCATTCTCTGGCGTTCAAAGTTAAGCCACTCGATGAAGAAAATGCAATACAATAAGAATACACTTCTGTTCACCCAGCCTTTTGGCGTAGAAGTAAACCAACAATGTCTTTCGCGCTGGAATACTTTCAGTTCTCTAGGTAGTTCTGCAATACATGGGAGAACAAAGAGAGGTGGGACAGATTTGCCTGTCATTGAGCATCCGCATAAAGCTGTAATGTGCAGAAAGTTTGGAATTCCTTTGGCGATCATATGCTCTATCTCCTCAGGTAATGCAACTTTCTTCTTCTTAAATTTGTTTATGAATGTTTCATCGATACTAAAAATCAACTCCTCTGGAGTACTTTCGATTGTTTCACGATGTTTATCGTAGAATTCTTCGATAATTCTTGGTTCACACGCCATGTATCTTGATTCTTCAATCTCTTGGCATGCCTTAAGCTTGCAATGCAATTGCTGTAAAATATGGTTAACATAAGGTCTCGATACATCATCACCACCAAGAGTATTGATAACTTCTTCTGCAAGAGTAGGACAATTAATCTCAAGAAGGAATCTGTAACCATAATCTCTTCTGAGCTCTTTCAACTTGAACGCCTCGTCAATAATGTCAGCTGCTTCTAGAGCTTCACCTTTGTAAGCAGAATCTTCGATAATTTCTTTTAAAGTGAGCTGATCACGCTCGCATAGGTATGGATCTGCACCGCCATGATTCCCTTTTTCCCAGTATAGACCTAATGCAGCTCTTTTAAGTGCAGTAGCAATGAGATTGGATGTTAAAGTTCCGAGATCTGGGTATTCTTCCTCCCATGCAAGCTTAGTTTGACTATATATCATACCTTCGGCGCGACAATTGATGATAAACTTTTGTTGTCTACCAAGAAATTCGACTGTGAGAAATTCCATTTTTAATTTTAAACGAGCACTTGAGCCACGTTTTATCTGACTTCACCAGCCAAAAAGCCCCTGTACTAAGTGTCATGTTTTTGTTTATTTTAAAGTTTCTGCCATGTAATGGTTTACATTGCAAAATTTTTGAATACTTTACATCACCATAAAATGGCAGTACAAGGCTAGTTTATCGGTACAAGGCTCTTGAAATGACTTTAGAGTTCACTACTTTCAAGAAAGGAAGATATGAGTATGGATTTATAGATAATGAACTCTACCTTAAAGTATTTTACCATGACATTCAACTTGGTGGGTATTTTACAAACAAAAACGAAGCGAGGTGGAATGATAAGAAATACAAATACTCAATTCTCACAGAAATCGATGATAAGTATCGTGATACTGATGGTCTTTTCCAATTTTCGATTGTTTATCCAGAGTTACGAACTTTCAACGTCTGGAAGCAGAAAAACAATCCACTGAATGAACCAAAGGTCATCAAAAGCGATCACAAACCTTGCAACGTAACAGGATATCAATATATTAAGGTTCTTGCTGATAGAAAGGATGATCTTTGCGTTTGGGGTGGTCTTTGCTTAAGTAATTCTGGTGCTCTTATTGATGGGTGCCAAGGACTGAAAGATTTTTTCTATGCTATTGGTTACACTGGACAGCAATGGACTGGTAATTTACTTCCATCAAATGGGACTGGAGTAAATACTGTAAGCCTCTGGGTTAAGGTTAACATAAATATTATACAAGGATCATGCGTTGCTAACATACTTCCGATATTACAAAAATTCAACGTATTATCTTTCATTTTTATATTGTTGGATACATGATAAAAAAGATTTGAATTGCTAATTAAATTTTTTCTATTCTCGATAGCTGAATCTATTTTACGAATAAAAAATCTAGTTTGAAAAGTAATCAACAAATTTTATATGGATACAAAATTGTAATATAAATTAGCGACCTGTTTGATACATCTATCACAAATGGTTTCTTTATTTTTTAAAATTTTTTATTGGATCGCTGAGAATAGCATTATAAATGAAGCATAAAAATAAAACCGAATTGATGAATGTAACGACCTTGCTTTCTCAAGAGAAATTAAAAATATTTTGGGATGCAATTGTTCATTAGTGAAACTGAATCAAAAGTTTTAGAATGGAGCGTTGTGAGGATGGAGATTTTAATTAAAGCCTGAAATATGAATATAGCATTTATGCTAAAAGCAACTAAGGTATCAATTGATGAAATTGTCAGACGGTATGGATAACTTTGTCACTTTTGTACTTCAGATTTTTTACATCAATAAGAAACAAAAAATTGTGGTGAATGGAGTTCACTACTTTCAAGAAAGGAAGATATGAGTATGGATTTATAGATAATGAACTCTACCTTAAAGTATTTTACCATGACATTCAACTTGGTGGGTATTTTACAAACAAAAACGAAGCGAGGTGGAATGATAAGAAATACAAATACTCAATTCTCACAGAAATCGATGATAAGTATCGTGATACTGATGGTCTTTTCCAATTTTCGATTGTTTATCCAGAGTTACGAACTTTCAACGTCTGGAAGCAGAAAAACAATCCACTGAATGAACCAAAGGTCATCAAAAGCGATCACAAACCTTGCAACGTAACAGGATATCAATATATTAAGGTTCTTGCTGATAGAAAGGATGATCTTTGCGTTTGGGGTGGTCTTTGTTTAAGTGATTCTGATGCTCTTATTGATGGATGCCAAGGTCTTACGGACTGGTACTTTGCTATCGGTTACACTGGTGTGATGTGGGCTAAACAAGTTACGATACCATCTAACGGAGTTGGTGTAAATGTTGTAAGTTTATGGGTTAGAGCTAGCAAAAAAATTATATATGAACCATGTATTACTAGCTTACCTGTTATGATTCAAAACTTGCAAATATTTTCTTTTATTTTTATTTTCTTGTATGAATGATTAATAAATACTTCGCCTCCTGATTCAATGCTTCCAATTTTTAACAATGGTCGCAAAACAGCAAAAAATCTGAATTGAAAAACGATGATCAATTTGAATATAATTAATTTTTTTGGAAATTGTCTGTAATTAAGAGAGTTTGCTTTTCTCATGAATACAATTTATTGTATTCATTCAATTTTTTAAAGGAAAAAGTGACGTTCTTCGAACACCAAAATGAATTTTGCTTCAGATAACGTCTCAGCCATTCATCCAAAGATTCTTGAAGCCATCGTAGAAGGTAACAAAGGTACAGATAATTCATATGGTGGCGATTCATCAACAGCAGCCTTAAAAGACAGACTTAAAGAAGTTTTTGAACATGACCTTGTTTACTATTTCGCTTCCACAGGCACAGCATCAAACTGCCTTGCATTATCAGCATTCTGCCCACCATACGGTACAATTCTTTGTTCCGATTCTGCTCATATTCTTACAGATGAATGCACAGCACCATCATTCTTTACAGGTGGCGGCCGTCTTATGCACAGATCAAAATCCCCATCCAAGTTCGATCCGAAATTAATATCAGAAACAGTAAATGCCGCTAAAGGATTACATCCACATGCTGGAAAGCCAACAGTTGTTTCAATCGCTCAAACAACAGAACTCGGTCAAGTATACACACTCGCTGAACTCAAAGAAATCTGCGATGAAGCTCACAAGTACGGACTTAAGGTTCATATGGATGGAGCTAGATTCGCTAATGCTTTAGTCAATCTTAACTGCACACCAGCTGAAATGTCATGGAAAGTTGGCGTAGATGTACTTACATTTGGCGCTACAAAGAATGGCGGACTTCTTGGCGAATTAATTATTTTCTTCAACCCAAGCGATGCAGAAAACTTCGATTTCCTCCACAAACGTTCTGGCCAACTTATGTCTAAGACAAGATTCTTCGCTATGCAAATGCTTGCTTATTTGAAGGATGATCTTTGGCTCGAACTCGCAAGACATTCAAACGCTATGGCCAAGCGTTTAGCTGATGGAGTTAAGGATATCCCATCTGTTAAACCATGGCTTCCTCTTAATACAAACGAATTCTTCATTATTATTCCAAAGGAACTTGCTGACAAATTATACGAGAAAGGAGTTCACTTCTACGATTGGGATCTTAGCATCTCATTATATCGCTGGGTTACATCTTGGCAGACAACAGAACAAGATGTCGACGATTTCGTCGCCCTTATCAAGACTTACAGTAATTTTATAAATAAAGATATTAGCAGATAGATTTAATTTACTTTCTTTTTCTAATGAAAATTTTTAAATAATTATTTATCAATAAGAAGCCAATTCGAAAAGATTACTATGAAGAACACACAAACAATAACTCTCTCCATTGAAACAACTAAACTTCGACTAAGATAATCGATGATATCGTCAAATCTGTTTCATCTTTCATACAAAGGAAAAGATCGCTGGAGTTTTGTTTGTATAGGCAACTGTTCATGGTGTTTTCAGTAAAAGCTGGATATTTGAAATTGTGATGATTACAAATGAACGTTTTGAAAAAAAGTTTATATGAAAAGTGACAAAATGACTACGAACGAAGAAAATAAGAAGAAAGTAATGGAAAGCCATATTTTTGGAGGAGCTCCTCAATCTCCTCCTCAACAAAGAAGAACACCTAGTCGTGCAAATCAGGCTCCTCTTCCACCTTTGGCAGATGAAATTCAAATTCAAAGACAACAGCCACCACCACAACCACAAAATGACTTCAATTTTCAAAGAAGCCCTCAAAGACCTCAGCAGCAACCACAACCAGCATATAAGCCAGATGACAGATTAAATCTCGTAACACCACACTCTTCAAGATTTGCTACAGCAACGCAGATTAACAGACCTCCTGTTCAAAACTTTGATGGGCTTGTAAAGGAGTCTTCTGTTCCACCTCTTTCTCCATTCCCTGAATTTACTTTCGAACCACCACAAATACAAACCAATTTTGAATTTCATGTCAAGCCTCTAACTGCTCAAAGTAGCAGGTCTACAGCTAAAAAGCTTACAATCAACTCTAATTCAGAAATTAGAAAAATTCGAGATGAAATCCAAGCAGATTCTGCTGAATTCGCTTCCAAACTTCAACAAATACAAGCACAAAATGCTCCAGGTATACATGTCTAAGATAATTTTACAAATTTCTTTATATTCTTTTTTTGTTTGATAAAATCATGTATATAATATACTACATATGCTATTTTTAGAGAAAAAAGGCTTTACGATTAGATTTTATGCGCAAAACAAAACAATTTCTTTTATAAAAAACAAACAACAAAGAATAACTAAGCATAGTTAAGAGTTTGACAAAGGTAGTCAATATTATATCTGTCTGATAATATTTTCATGATTTCGTCGTTATTATTATGAGGAAGTTCGATGAAATCCATAGACCATCTATTTGCATATGAAGAATGGGCAGATGGTGGTGGTTCTGTATCAGTATCAGGTTGTGATGACGCTTCTTCAGATGGATTTCCATTTTCTGAGTCAGAAGAAGTTGGATCTTCAATAAATTCCTCAACAACCTCATTTTCAACGTAGTTTCCTTCAATCATTCGTTCCCAATCACTTGCATAAGGGCATCTGTTTCCCATAGAGGAAGATTTTTTGAAAAATGATCTAGTTTTATTTAATTTCGATTCTGTAAGAAGATTGAGATCCATCAATGTCTTAATATCATTACTTGGATACTGAATAACAACTTCCTTCCTTGAATTTAAGAAATTAATTATATCTTCATAGGAAGAAATGTCTTTTTGATCATTTTTATCAAGTAATATACAACGTAAGTTCTTAATAGTTCCAAATATCTTCAGAACATTCGATAAAAGTGGAGATCCGAGATAATTATTTGAGATATCAAATCTTCTTAAGGCTTTTGCGTTCTTTAACTTAAGTAGAATTTGTCCACTAGTCGGCCCTAACTTCATTTGATTTGTTCCATGAATATCTAACAACTGAATTAGTGGATGCTGACAAATTACATCAATTAAGTTAGTTTGTTGTATATTGGGACATCCTGCAATGGATAAAAATGCCAATGATGGCATCCTTTCAATGAAATCAGCGAATGGTTGTTGGATTGGATTATTTCTCCAGTTCAAACAAACCAATCTAGAAGGATTCAGCTGACTAAGGTTACTGAATAATTCATTCCAATCATTTTCAGTTAGTTCTGCATCGCCAACATGTAAAGAAATCTTTGATGGAGCTTGAGTTGCAATTTTTAACATGTTAAACAGGTTATTGTTCTTCCAATCAACATTCTCTGCAACAATTGTTGATATAGAAAATGGTAAAATGCATCTATCACTAATAGTTTCCATCGCATTGTTATAAGATAAATCTACGTATTCAATATGAGTCCTACTGAACAAAGAAAGGGTCTGAATGAAGCTCGATATTTCAATACCACATCTTTTGAGATAGAATTGCGTAACTTGAGTAAAACTTCCTATAAATAAATTTCGATTTTGTAAATTTATACTTTGTAGCTTCACTTTCGTAATATTTCTTCCATGCTCTGATATAGTTTCAATGAATTCAGCAAAGTCTTTAACGAATCTACACTTAATTATTGAAATAGAATCAAGAGTTTTTCCTGACAAATACATTGATAAAGATTGGAGCATAGAGGTAGTAATAGTTATCGAAATTAAAATAATGTTTTTGATGTAGAGTCTCTTATTTGCTAAAACAGAGGAAATCAACGATTGAAACGTATCATCTCCAATATCTGCTTGGAATATAATAGTCTGAATGGTAGAATTTTTCGATAGAAACTGAGATACTATCTCCCACTTTGATTGATCAAGTACATTATCAATAATTAAAGTATCAATTCCTACTTCTATTTCAATAGAGAGCAAAATTGAAGATAGTGATAACCCATTATCAGTGATAAAGGATATTCGGAGTTCTTTTGGTTTGTTACTTGAATATTTTCGTAGAACTTCGATTTCTGCTTTTGAAGCAGGTCTTCCACGCCAAAACATTCGAGCCCTGTATCTATCGACGAGGTTTAGGTATTTATCCTTAGATGGAGAATCAGGACCGAGTTTTGTTTTAAGATGTGGTAATTCTCTTGGAATAAGTAGCCAACGAAGGTCAATTTCAATTGTCTCTAAGATAAAATCATTTTTGTCACATAAAAATGTTAGTGTTTCCTTAGAAAAATTCAAAACAATTGTTGTTTCAGTTGGTCTTGAGCCTGATTTTAGTGTGATAAGAGGATGTGATGAAATTATGGAAATCTTTTGGGTTTCTTCATTCTGAGATAAGATATATAACGTGAATTCTGTCACTAATAATATGTTTTTAACTTGTTCATTGTTGATAATCTGGATAACAGGCTGTAGCATAAGAGATTTTTCCGAAGAGAAATCCACAAGATTCTGGATTTCCCTAGTTAGCTTATTGCCCATTTACAAAATCAAAAAAAATTTTCTGTCAAAAAAAGAACTTACCAAAGAATAAACAAAGAATCAGAATTGAAGATCTTTAAATCAAATACTTAATCTGCAGCCCATGAAACTAACTCATAGACATCATGAACAAATAATAATACCTAGATATATCGAATAATCAAAGTGACTAATAGGACATCTCTTGCTCAGTTTGCAGTAGCATAGCGAATAAGGAAGATACATTATGATTTCTTCTGCGGGTTTCAAAACTTTAAAAAAGCAAGTATTAAAATTTTGACAAAGATTTACCTTTTCTTTTCTGTTATAAATGACTAATTTCTCTAGGTTTATTACATGATTTGCGAAGTAGACTGTTATAACTTTTACTGATGGAGGAACAAAAATTTCTTTGAGGATTAATGCACAACTAAATGCATCTCCAACAATAGTTGTAACTCCATCTGGAACGATATATGACTCACCTGGATGCTTTGCAGGATAACAATAAAGCTTTTTCATATCTCTAGTAAATACAATTCCATCGACATCGATGTAGTATTCATTTAATGGACTGACTTCAATATAAGATATATTCCATGTATCAAATGGATTGAAATAACTAAGTTTTGTTACAAAGCTTGGAAGAAAAAAATATTGAAGTGGGCACTCAAGCCCAAAAATGTTGTCATCTATGTATGTTGTTGTATCAAGGATTGTAAGGTTCTTTAAATCTTTATATTTATAGAAGCAATTTGAAGATAATCTAGTAAAACCCGAAATTTTTAAGTGATAAACATCACTGTTGGCTGTCTGCCCAGTGAAGTCTCCACTTCCTGTAAATTTTAATACCTTATTCGGCTGATCAATCCATTCTTCTGTAATTATTCACCTTCCCGAAATTGAAACATAAAAATATAAAAAAACGATCGAGCGCTCATAATTCAACTAATGAACCTCATCCACTGGAAGAGAATTAAATATTTAGATTCTTTAGGATACAATGGTCATTTTATTATTGAGAAAAATGGAATATGAACAGATTTGTTGATTTGAAACTATGCTACCTTAGCTGATAAATAGATAAAAGGTATTATCTTAAAGTATTCAAGTAAAAACGAGGTGTCCATACCTTATTCCCAAATAGAAGTCAAATGAATTTTTAGTGAGAATTAGTACTGAATACATTTCGCTGTAATATGAGGTTTAGACTTTTATTGAACAATATAATAAGACCATATATGCAAGAACCCAGTAATTATTGATGCTTCTTCATTTCATTACGGATTATCGAGTTTAGGGAGTGTTTGTGAAACATTCGCTTAAGGTATTCGAATCATGTGATAAAATTGTCTCTGAAATATATTTTTTCCCAAATTTTTTGATTATCAAATAATTTTTTCAACATTCAAGAGCCATTATATTGAAAAACTTGCATTTATATGGATGAATAAAAGGTTTCATTTTGTTTTACTCAGTTATGTTATAAATTAAATTATAAGACCTTTGAATTTTTGGTATCAGCTCTTTATTATATATTCGTTCATTAATACTGCTGTAGGCAATTTCAACTACCGTATGTAAGGGTTTGAAAAGCTTCAATTTCGAATTTACATTTCCTGACCCGATTAACTAACTATATAGAAAGATCACTCTTTGGTGGGCCAATTAAAATACTACTCAAGTTGAAATCATAAGTTTCATTATTTTATCCTTTTATGACTGTCACTTTTTTGCTCTCAAATAATTTTATAGTGAAATGACTTTAGACCCTGAGACCTCGCATGATGAGATCTCTTCAATTCAGAAACCACTTCATGAGGAGTGTTCAGAGTTATCGACCACACTGTACACACTTAAGAAACGTGTTGAAGAGGTTCAATCAGTCGATCAAATTAATCATCGCTGGATTTCAATCTATGGTCTTCTTCAAGAATTCAAGATTGTAGATTATTATCCATATGATGATTTAATAGAACTTAAGAAGCTCCCAATCGTTACCAAATTACTTAACTTCCAAAATTATCTCGAAACATTAACAAACGAATTACAAGGACTCGAAGATACACAACAAGCTATCGACGAATTTATTAATAAAAATCTTTTAGGACTTTATTATTACAAATATAACATTCAAGATGGAAAATCCGAAGAAGCAAAGTTTTACGACAGAAAATTAAAGCAGGTCCAAGATTTTAAGACCTTCATCGATGCTCTCGCAGCTAGAATTGCTCGCTACAGCCCAAACATGCCAAAGTATGCCATAATGGTGAACGTCAAGCTTCTAGCTGGTTTGATGCAAGAATACATACAGCAGATGGAACAAGCTAAAAATGCCGAGCAACTCAAGCTCAGAAAAGCTCAAATCAAGAACGTCTCACAAATCATCGATGAGTTCACTAGCTACAGGAATAAGTTACAGCCTTTGATAGACCAAAATGATTTGGAGTTAAAGGGAATTGCTTTCGCTGATCTCGTAAATATCAGAAATTATATTGATCAGCTTGCATATTCCGCCACGAACTTTGCTCGCGCTTGGACCAGCTACGATATTCCACTCGCCCTTTCCAAGATGCTGTACTTTTCCGATCAATTAATCAAAGCAAAGGGTTATCTCGGAATCCCAACAGGAACTCCTCTTGATATCAAGAGCCCAGTCATTACAGCCAAGGCAGCAATTGATCACGTTCTTGCTTCCGAAAATTCGGCCTTTTCTACAGTCAAAGATTATTTGACTCAATTTTCGAAGTTTTTGGAGTCATTTAATAATCTTTTGGCTCCAGTCATCAACAAGGAAATTATTACTAACCCACGCCGCCTTATGCAAGAACAGTTTACTTATCTCGTTGGATTCGCTTCAATTCTTTACCAACACGAGTTCTACGATGATGCTTCACTCTTCGAGCTTAGCATTATCAGAATGAACATGGCATTGAACGCTTTAACGTTCAAGAAGAAAGAATTAGTTTTTTCAAACGTCGAATCTGACCAGAAATCATTCGATATTGCTTCGAAGTCGCAGAGCATCTTTGGTGATCGCGGAATCAACGAGGTTCATTCATCACATATCGCAACTCTCTTCAAATTCTACATTAATCCTCGCATTTCTGCAAAGTCTTACGCGAACCTCAAGAATGTCGAGTTCTGCCTTAGATTTAACGATGAAAAGCAAAATGACCTCATTACAACATCAATTGAAACCGTAAAATCTCTTATGGAACAATTACAGAACACAACAACAGAAACTCACGAAGACTACATCAAGATCATCGGTATATCACAAGAGCTCTCTAAACAAGCGATTTATGTTGACATGGTCGCTATTAAAAAGTCAGAATACTCAGAAGAGCTTCTCGAGTTACCGGAGCTCTTCCAAAAGGCCGCTACCCTCTTAAACGAAAAGATTGACGGCCTTATTGGTACATACATCAAGCCAGTAAAGCAACTCTCCATCATCGAGTTGGCTGTCTTCATCCATTCCGTATTACGTCACATCCATGATAATACTAAGGGTGCAGGCGAGTTCAATTCAGAGCTTGCGGCCTCAGAAACTAATGTTCAAACGAGATTATTGAATGCAATCGATCATATCAGCATGATTAGCCTCAAAGAAGAGCCAATCTACACTTCTAAGGGTATGGTACAGGAAGATCTCAAGTCCGTAACTGAGACATTCCCTAATAATGATTCAGATAATTTCGATAACCTCCTTAGAGAGTCATTCATCTCTAAGCTTCTTCCTTTTGCCAAAGAAGCTTACGAAACAATGCTTGCTGAGCTTGATAAGTTCGAAGAACGCGAATACGAACCGAATGATGTAGTTTCCGAACTCGTAAAGGTCGAGTCATCCATCCAATCCATCTTGGAAAAGGAATTGGCCCGCTACGAGATAGTCCATGCCAAGATCTTGGAAATTGTCACTTTTATTTTACATCAACTTTACACAATCCATACTGGCATATTACTAGAAAATGCCAAATCCGTTCTTCCTCAGATCGACACCACGAGCGATGATATTTCCATCCTTCTTTCCACAATTTCCAGTTATTACAACGATATCAACACCGCCGACTCCGATAACTCGATGATTATGGCATCATGGAAGATCCGCCACCTTTCAACAGACTACGCACACGATAACGAGTTGTTGGAAGTCCTTAATAATCTTGATTCCGAGTTCAAAGCCGTTTCCGACCAAGAATCGAAGTTCAAAGTCTTCTTTGTCGATATGTCCAACGAGATACAGCCAATCTTCAAGAAAGTATCATCAAAGACAACGAGAGAAGGCACTGAAAGCGAAGAATGGTCGAAGAAGTTCACAGAAATCATCACAGACATAAACAATATGTGGTATGTCCCTGACTCTCTTCCTTACACCCAGAACTACGTCAATTCCACGAACTTATTAAATAAAGCATTAGTAATTCTTGGAAAACAAGAGGAAAAGGCAGGACCATTCGAGAACTCCTATGAACAAATCCATTCCACACAGAAAGCATACGGAGAATACATCGAAGCCGCAGCCAAAATCTACGGAGACAGGAAGTATTGGAATGTTGTAAAAGAAGCAACATCAATGCAAATTCCTAAAGACGCAGATTTCATCAAACAAGCGATTTTGGAACTTTACAAGATCACTAACCAAGAAATGGAGAATATCCAATCAAATGCAAAGCGTGCTTTCGCAGAACACGCCATTTACGTTCTCCAGGCATCAAGAATTGTTGCTTACAAACAATTTGATCCTCTCCAGAAATCATTGATTGCTTTTCTTGGCGAAGAAGATGAAGAAAAATTGAGAGAAACCGTCAAAGAATTATTAGAAAAAATCCAAGATTTGTATGAAATCGCCAATCCACCTGCAGTCATGATCAAACTCGCTGTCCAACAGAAACTTCTTCAGAGCTACATCGATCCTGCAAACAACGAATACGCCCAATCATATACATACACAATTAGATACGCGAAGAATTTGCAGGATGAAGAGCAAAAAGAAGTTTTCACGAAGATTGCAACAGAGTTATCTCTTTGTTTCTTCAGAAAGAACGATCCAACGAAGATTGATTACGAGAAAGGCATCGAATACCTTAGAAAGGATCTTCCTCCTGAGATGCAGTTGAGAAAACTTACTCCAGAAGAAGAGAAAGATGTTATTTTCAATACAAAACCATTGACAATTGAAGATAACGATTATCAGGACGATAGTTTCAATGAACAGACTTCACCTCACCTCTACAACCGTGATCACAGATTGTTAGATACAAATACAACAACTAATTCCCACTTGAAAGTATACATTGCTCCTCCTCTTCCAATGAATGTCAACAAAGACAACTTGATGAATGAGTTCTTCTTACCTGAAGAAGATAAAATCCATTCAATTGACTACATCAATACATACAAAGTTGCTCAGTTGACATTACAAATTGCAAAGGCAAACTATGTTCCAGAATTGCACTTTGCAAAGCTTGGAACTGTATACGAGAGTTTGCATCATCAATCACTCATCAAAGGACCAATAAACACAACAAATAACAGCCATCAAAGCAAGTATTTGAAAGTCGAGTTGAACAACATCATTGTTGAGAACAAGACAATCGATTACATGTATATCATGGTTTATTTGTTCGATAAGAAGGAAGGATTGATGATTTCTCAACCATGTTATTGGATCATTTCAGCCAATGGAATTCCTGTAACAATCAATGGAAATGACAATGTTTATTTCGAAGTTCCAAACAGAAATCCAAACACTGTTTTGGTAATGAGATTGTTACACAACGCTGCAGTCTTGAGAAATGATTTCATGTTGTATTTGATGACAGGAAAAGATGTTTTGTCACATGAAGAATATCCAACGAATTTCGCTGTTTCAATGTGCAAATTATTCAACGAAAACGGATCATTGAAGGAAGAAATCAAGTTCAATGACGTTTTCCATATGATCATGATGACAAACAAAGACATCGAGAACGACATCAACCTCACACAAGGACTCAGCCAATCTCCTGAAGCCAAAGTCAATGTAAATATCGATTTCAAGGTCGAATTACATGACAACAAACCAGGAGATGTCGCATACAACTGGACGGAATCATCCAAGCCAAATCTCCTCAATCTCGCAGTTACAAACAAATCATCTCCATTGATAACATTGAGGAATATTCACTTCACATTCCAGAAGCCACAAGAAGCCAAATATGTCTTCTTCACAGCCCATTACTTGGAAGATGATTCAGATCTCAAGAATCCAAAGGGACTTCCAAACATTTTGGATTACAAATCGAACAAATTAGTATCTGTTTACAGATCAACATCTCTTCCAACATCAACGAACACGAGATTCCCTGATGTTGTTCAGTTCTACATGATGATGCCTCCAACAAAGAAGACACACATATTAATACAGTTCTGGACACAGAAAGGGAGCGGACAAGCAACTCTTTACAAGATCTCCATCATCGAGTTATTCGATAACCAAGAAAAGAAGTGGATTTCTAATGCAAATAACGTAGAATTCCCACTTTTCGAACAGAAGAAACTCAACAACCAGAACTATATTCCTTACAAGAAGCCGAACCAGAACTCCAAGTTCTACTTCAACATCAACATCCCACAGCTCTATTTCATCCACGAGCAGTTCAACCCTGTTTTCTCTCCAGATTGCAATGTTGATACAATTGACATCAAATCACTCCAGATTTCTGATGTCCACAACGCAATCATTCCTGTAACAACAAGATTGCTTAAGCTCGTAAATGAAAAGAACATTGGATTGTTGATCAACATCTACGCACAATACGAGAACATCAATGATCTCGAGCAAATTATCAATGAATATTTGACAAATAATTATTTGCCAAGTAGAATTTCTGACAATTTGCCAAAGAATTTACTTAATTCCATTGGTTCATATGTTTCCAACTTGATCTTCTCTGCAAACAGTGCCAAGAGATTGCATTACTTGATCAATGTCATCAGGACAGCTCCAATCATCATGAACATTGTCACAGCAACATTGGCATGGACATACAAAGAGAAGAAATCACTGAAAACAGTTGAAATGGAGTTCGGTTTGATGGCAAGAGCATTTGCACAGTTAATTTCTAATTTCTATAACTTAGAAATGACAGTAAATGCTCACAAGGCATTCACAAACATGTTCTTCTTAGTTTCTCCACTTTTCGATGCCAAATTCGTTGTCCAACAGTTAGAAACATTCATCAAAGACACTTCTAATGTTTCTCAAACTGATTTGACACCGTTGTTCCCTCCACCGGATCCTAAAGAGAAGAAACCACATCCACCGCCAATTCCTAAACCAGATATCTCAACGAAATCACAGGAACAAATCGTTTTATTCTTGAGATATTCTGTTTTCGAGGTCTTCTTCCATTCAGTAAATCTCATTGCCATCATTGCCTACAAACACAATGATAACGCAATCATCAATTACTTGTTGGAAGGCATCAAGAGATCATTCGCAATCAGCGACTTGATTCTCATGAATTCCTACATTTACATGCTCGCTCAATTATGCAGAGATTTAGAACAATTCTCTGTAATTTTGGAGAAAACAGCCACTGTTTTGTTGCCTTACATTGATTTGGCTATCAAATTACACAACAAAGTTGAAGTCAAATCAGACTACAAGTTCTTCCAGCACTTCATTATCCCTGTTCTCTTCATCATCCATGAATGTGAGACATCAGTAATGATCAAGAAACTTCAATCTTACGAACCACAAGATTTGAAGAATTTCTTCTCATTCTTGAAGTTCTGCATCGAGCTCAACTTGCAGCCACCAACAACACATGGATTGTTGGGAACTGTTAAGTCAACAACGTTCTCCAATGAGATGAAGGCGCTCAACCAGATGAAGGAAGACTCAAAGGCAGTCAACTACGCATTGTTCAATGAAATCACAATGAGATACCTCTTCTTCTACGTCGAACTCCTCAAGAACAAGTTCAACATGATGCCTGCAATTGATGAAGTCACTTCACTTCTTTTATTATTGATGAACAGATTGCAGGAACCTAGTTCCATGGGCAAGACAATTGTCATTTTGTGCAATGTCATTGATAGATTCAGAAATGATCTATTGACAACACACAACTCCGCTCTTGACACGATAATTAACTACGGCCTCAAACTCTGCAAGAGACATTTGAGGATTTCAAGAGCAGGCGGTGCAGCATTGTTGTTGCACATCTTCTTCATGGAATATATGACAACGAGACATGTAATTGTTACATCACATTACTTCTACTACAATTACACTGATATTGTCATGGAATCAGAAAATTATCAGTTGAAGATTTACGGAGCTCTTCTTGATACTTTGTATTTGTTCGCAAGCAATTTCAAGATCAAACACTATGTTGAAATTGTTCTCGAGAAAATCAACGCAGGAAAAGTTATTTATCCAGCGTTGTTGAAGCTCAAATCATCGAACAAATCTCCAGAATTCCAGACAATCCACATGCTCAAGATTGCAGACCAGTTCTTCACTTATCCAGTCCTCAGATTGCGCTGGCTCCACAAGATCGTCGATGTCAATATGGAGGCATCTTTGTGGTCAGCAGTTTTCGTCACATACACGAGAATTGCACAGCTTTGCTACAACATCATTTTGTTCGCTCACAACGATAGAGTTCCTTCATTAGACTTCTCTTACGTTCCATCAATCATCGAAGAGAATTCAGCAAAGATCGATTACGCGAAACTGAAGTACAGGCACTTGCTTATCGATTCACCTGAATTCACAGCAGATGGAGTAATTGATGCTTGCGAAGGAGCTGCAAACGCCGCTAAATCTCGCAGTTTGTTCCTTTTGCACAGACACACATTGGTACAATTAGTTGCTTTGTACGAGATGAAGAGAAGGTACAAATTACTCACAGGAAAGGCCGGCGAATTGTCCGCAATGTACGGAGACTTCGCAAGAGCAAATGAAGAACCATTGTTCTTCTATTTGACTGAGAGAAGAAAGAACGGAAACATCTTGTCAAAGAGAATTTACTGCTCTCCAATTGCAACAATCGACAAGTTCGTTCTCTTCTTGAATGATCCAACATACAACCGCTTCGAACACGGCGAACAAGCACAGAGTTATCCATCCTTCGAATCCGCTTCTAAAGTTTTGAATAATATCTGCGTTTTCGCTCTCAAAGGAAAGCATTCATTACATGAATTCAACAACGAAAAAGAATTCTATGTTGATGAAGGCAACGTCAGATACTCATTCACAGCAAACTTCGAATTCCCAAGCTCCATGGTGTGCTCTGAAGTTCTTTCTGAGTCCAAGACAAACATCACTCCACAGTTCACAATCATCGAGACAATCAAACAATACAAGGAAGAACTTAACCATTTGAACACAAGTATCGAAGTTATGCTTCCATCGAAGAACTTCAGAAACAGATTCCAGGAATACAGATACAACTTGCCAATCCAGTTGCTTGAGAAATGGATCAACGAGGCTTCTCAAAACGAATTCTGCGACAAAGTTGGTGCTTCTCTCGAGGACGAACAAGTCAAGACAGAAGCTGTTTCTTTGGCCGACGTTCTCAAGAAATCTGCATCTGTTTACGTTACAGCAGCACAAACACAAGGAGAAGACCAAGATTCCGCAAAGGTCAGAGTCTCAGTGATCAACAACTACTTGAAGGTTGTCACGCAGGAGAGGAACTACCAGATAGAACAGACAGAACTGGAGGATGACCCACTTAACTACAAACGTGATTATGAAGATTATTAATTTTATTTTATTTAAAAAAAACAAATCATTTTTACTATTGTATTTTTTTCCCTCTCTCTTTATTTAGAGTCAGAAATAAGTATCCTAAGGCCAGTTTGATTATAGAATATTCTTGAAACATTTTCATCCAACGTAAAAAGTGTATTGAAAGATTTTATATTCATATACAATTTCAATTCTTAGAATAAAGCACTTATTCCAAAATGTCAAAAATTTTAAATTTAAATTTAAATAGCAAAAAATAATGTTTATTTTAAGATACTATTATTATCAAATTATTGAACCTTAAATCATAATTACAATTGTATTTTGCCAAATTATTGTACTTTTTTAAGTGCTCAATTACAGCTTATTAGATAAAAAGAAAGGTTCACTTGAAGTTCAATTTGATTCACTTACAAATACCTATATATTTGACTATCCTTGCGAGCTCAATTATGATTGCACCGAATATGTCATCAATCTAAGTGCTGGCTTCTATAAGTTCGATTTATATGGTGCATCAGGTGGCTCATTCCCTAATAAACTGTCTTCATACATGGATACGTCAAAGGAATGTATTTATCAGCGTATGGTTCGCTCGATTCACGGGAACACTCAATGCAGGAAGCTAGGTAGCCGAGGTGGTGCTGGCGGCTACATCTCAGGCTATATAAAACTCGATTCTCCGGTAACCGCATACGCCACGATTGGCGGTAAAGGGAATTACTCCTTTACAAGATATTCGGAGCACACAGATGCTGATTACCTCCCCGAAAATTTAGTTCTAGGAGGGTATGGCGGTGGTGGAGCTGCCGCAAATTTCTATGGTTCCATTACCAATTATGGAGCGGGAAGTGGTGGTGGCCAAACCGCAGTCAAATTTAAAGAAAATGATCTTTGGCACCGAGTCATTGTGAGTGGTGCTGGCGGTGGCTCTGATAACCACATCTCAGGTCTTGATATTTTTTCTGGCCCAGATGATGGCTCCGGCGGTGCTGGAGGAGGCCTTGAAGGCCAAGGATTTTGGATTGATGGAAATTTAACGTCTGATTTTATCGCGAATTCCACCTTTGGATTCACTTTTGGATTCGGAGAGACAGCACAGAAAGATAAATCGAAAAGTCCATTTGGTAGAAAAGGTGAAGGAGTTCGTCATAGTGACCGAGCTGGCGCAGGAAGTGGATGGTTTGGCGGATTTGCCAGCCATAGTGGAAATGGAGGTGCTGGTGGAGGCTCTTCATGGGCATTGACAAAAGATGCAATAATTCCAACTGGGCCAATTAGTTCTCGTGGAACATTGTTTCTTTATGATAAAAGTCTCCCATACGCGTTCACAAAGGAGAGTGGTTATCTGTTTGAGGGAGTTACGACATATCCAGGTGTTTGGGATGGAAACGGAAGACTTGTAATACAAATTGTTGATGAAAATGAATTAATTTATGCTCAACAGTTCAAAGTAGACTCTGCATTCCTCTCAATTGGCTTTTCTATACATGTTTAGGCTTGTTTAGTTCTTCATAAATCTTTAATGGGAAAACTTATCATTTTTAAATATGGTAACATAATTCTGATTCCTTTATAGTGCAAGGACTCTAGATGAAATCTATATGATTTAATCATCATTTTAATTAATATTTTATTGATCATGGGAAAAAGAAATGGAATAAATAATATGTTTAATATTATTGAATCGCTATTCAAAATATGTATTATCCAAAGATTTATGAGAGTAAACTTGGATAAATATATAATAAATATGTTTATATTATACAAACTTATATCTTTGAATCAATTAAATTTGCGTTGATCAGATTGTAAATCGAGTTTAATAGGATGCTGAGATAATGCAGTAAATATATCAATATGGAGTTTACAGATACCCCTCAATTCACAGTATCTATTTAGTTGAATGTTTTTTTGGGCATGATCAATATTTATTGTTCTTGGCAAGGGAATTTTATATGAATCAATAAATATGTACATATGAAACCAACTATTATATAATCAATATAACAATAAGAATTACTTGACCATTATCCAATCGCTCTTCCATTTCTTTTTCCCATGATCTCATATATCTTTGGATAATACAAGATTAAGACACAACAAATATTTATTCTTAGTCATTGGATGAAATCGCATTAAAATTTGATCAATTTGTTATAGACCGAAAATAGATTTTTTCAGTTTTCTCTTCAAATAATTGAAAGAATGATACTATTATAGGTTTATTATATTATATAGCATATAATCATGCTATAGCCGAAAATTATAAGTTTTGAGAAGATTGAATATAACACAAATAAATTTGAATGTAAGTTAAATTGCTTGTTGTTTTTAATAGCTATTTAATGAGAAATCCAATATTGCAAAATTCAAATTGAATGATTGAAAGAACAGAAAAAGTCATTCTTTTCAATTTCGAATATGTTTCATTGTATTTATAATTATATGGCAAATAAGATATTTAAACTTGATTTTTGAAGGAAAATTCACAAAATTGAATAAATTCAAATAATTTTTATTCAAAAATAAACTAGTTATTTGAGTTTAATACTAATTATCTATTCAAACTACAAAGTTTGTAATTTAAAATATTTTGTGAGATCAGATTGAATTAATTCAAGGTTCTTTTCAATTAATATTAATGACCATATTACGCATTTTCGAACATTCTAAACCAAATATATAAAAATGGGAGACGAATGTTAAATTTGCTAGACATGGGGGAGCTGTCTGCAAAGTTTTAGCTCTTATCTCTAACAAAAAATTAATTTTTAAAAAAAATGACCGAATACGTTTCACAGCGAGAAAAAAATAAAAGGCAAGGTAGAATTTTCTAGACATAAAGAAGTTGTTTACCGAGTTTTAGCTCTTATCTCTAACAAAAAATTAATTTTTAAAAAATGACCGAATACGTTTCACAGCGAGAAAAAAAATAAAACTGTACACTGATTTTAATTTTCATTTCCAGTCACTTTACTTATTATTTTTTCTTTTTTTTTCATTTTAATTATAAATTATTTAATAATACGTTTATTTACGTTACCATTTTCTTTATTCTTTTGAATTCCATACTAGACACTTATAGAATATTTTGATTGTTAACGTACTTCATTAGAATGAATCCTTACAAAGGGTATGTCGATCGAATTTACCTAATTGGTATTTCCAATCAGATTGAAGAAGGTAAAATGACATGGGAAGAAGCTTGCACCCATGTTCCCATCGCCCCAACCCTTCAATCAAATGATTTCAAATATTTAGATGTTTCAAAATCTTTTTTACAAAATCAATTTAGCTTACAGAATATCCCATTGCCTAAAGGCAAGAAAGGTCGTAGGGTCAATCCCTACGACCAAATCAAAGCTCTTGCTGTGATACATGACCACTGGGCCTTTCCTGTGGTCAAACAAAACAATGGAAACGTTTGAAATTACAACAAATTGATGTATCTTATAGAGAAGTACGCAGATACTTCAAAGAAAATCATTTCACCAAGACGCGATTAGAGCATGCAGGGCCAGAAACAGCAGTAAGATATTGGGGCGCTTTCACCCAATCTTATCTGGCACGCAGATGTTCATTATTTTAGGGGTGTTCGTGGCCAGTATATTTATGGCATAATCGACGATTTTAGCCGCAAAGTCCTAGCGTGTATACAAATACCAGATATGCTGGCAGCGACGACAGCGAACGTTGCGGCTTCCGCCTTCATTGAATTTGGCGCCCCTTATTATTTCTGGACCGACAACGGTTCAGAAAATAGGGGCGCCTTTCAAGATCTACTTGATCTTTGGGGCGTCCAATGGCGGCATACAGACTCTCATTCTCCCTACCAAAATGGGAAGATTGAGAGATTCTGGCCGACATTGGAGCGCTGCCAAAGCATTCAGGCTATTCCTGCCTTTATTTGGGAGTACAATAATAACACACCGCATGAAGATCTCCCAATTAATCCATTAACTGGAACAAATTACACGCCAAATCAAATGTATCAGCTGAAACCGAAATACACAAATGCAGATACAGAAAGGTTGTGGCAAATATGGGATACAGATACAGGCATGACCGCTGTTGACACATTCACAGCGTAATAATAAACATAATTTTTTAATTTCATTTTTAACAAGTTTTTTTAAATGTATGTAATGAATAATTCATTAGAATATGATAATGCACATTGTAACAGAATAGAACAATCACCAAATTTTTTTTGAAATTAAAAATAAAAGTAAAAAGTATAAAGTAATCTAACCAAAAAAGATATTTAAAAGAATTTTGGAAAAAACAGAATAAGGATAATGATATTATTTTAGATACACAATCGATGTACTGAAGAATAATCCGGTAAAATGATGATATAAAATTAGATTATTTTACAAGTAGCTAAAAGAATAAAACTATAATATAAAATAAATGAAGTTTAATGAAACAATAAAGGGTAAATAAATAATAAAGATTTTTATTTTATATCAGTAAGTAGTATATGTGGAAGGGTTGTGTGACTTTTTTTGTTACGTCTATATATAGATGAAGGTATATTTTCACATCTTCTATATATAGATGATATAAAATTTTTTCTTACGTTTTTTTAAGTCATGAATTCGTAAGAAAGCGCGACATTATTAAATAAATTAGTAATAAATATAATTTATAAACACATTAAAAAAATTAACATTAATTTTAAAATAATTTATTTTTTTATCTTTTATAAAAGAAGCTATATATAGATGATGTCAGATATTCCGCGATTAATTAAACATTGTTTAAATCCTGAATGGGTTAAACTTCAATTTAAAAATGAAGATTGTGAATTATTAAATGAATATGAAATGAAAGCCAAAATAAGCTAATGAGGTATAAATATAATGATAAAGAATATTTAATTTCATGGAATCAATGGAGTCATAATCAAAGACCTCATAAACGGGAAGAAGAAATTGAAAATAATGAAATGGAAATCATTGATGACATTAAAGAGGATGGAATTCCTAAATTTTGTAGAAAAACCTTTAGAACTAAGTTAGGAGCATATAAACGTAGAGTATTAAATCCTGAATATCTTAAACATTTATTTAAAAAGGAAGACTGTGAATTATTAAACGTTAATGAATATGAAAATGCTAAATCAAAATTGAAATATAAATATATTGGAAGTGATGAAAGGTGTAAAGATAAAGATAAAGTTTATTCAGTTTCATATAATAACTGGCACACGTTAGGGATAAGAAAACATTTAGGAGATTATGGGAAATGTTCTGAATTCTTCAAATCTAGTATGTACGAGAGAGTAAAAGAAATTAGAAATAATTATTTTCATGAATGAAAAATAAACTTTAAAAATTCATGTCTTACATTTTTGAATAATTTATTTTTTTATTTAATGATAAATGAGCGTCACAACTAACAACGTTAAAAAAATGGGATTCACAAATGAGGAAATAAAGGATATATTAGAGGAAGCGGGTTATGAGGTTAGTAAATATTATTTAAGAAATTGTCAAAAATTCGCGGAGTTTTTAAATGAGTTTGATTATGATGGAAAAATGAATAAAGATGATGTTATAAATTTCTTATATCCCACATCTGAAGAAGAAAAACCTAAAGAACCTGATGTTTTCCCTGAATATTATGAAGAACGGATTAAAGATGATGAATATGATGAAATTGAAAGACTGGAAAAAATAAGAGATGAAATAGATGAAAAAATTAAGGAATTAAGAGAAGTTGAAAAATATAATGAGAATGAAGTAGAGGGTTTAATGAATATCCCTTCAGAATCAGCAGTTCAGAAATCTCATGAAGAAAGATATAAAAATTATGTCTCAGAATCAACACAAAATTTATTAGATGGTGAAATAGACGAAACACTTTCAGAAGAAGGTACTAAATTTATTCGTAAACATAAGTTACAATTTATTGATAATGAAGAATACCCCTGTATCCTACTTTCACCTCCTCTTGATTCTGAAAAATTCAAAAAAGCACTGAAAAATGTAACATATGCAACAAATACGATTAAGAAAGAAGACCATGATATTTACACAAATTATTATTTAAATAAATGTACAGGTGTTGATAAAGTTTTTGATTTATTAGATAAAATATCAAAAGAAACCATTGGAACATATAAAATTTTATGCGATTGCGGTTTCATTATTGAAGATACCAATAATGTTTCATATGAAAGAACAGCACCGAAGGAAGACGAAGTGGAAAGGTCTATACCATTCGTTATTAAGAACATAAAAGATATGAAAACTTATAAACATTATATTTATTCATTTATTTCAGAAAAAATGGAAGCAACCCATAAAACATCATCTCATCATTTTATAGCTATTCATACATTCCTTTTCAAAGTTGTGAAATTAAATAAGACAGGAATTAGATTTAATGTATCAGGGTACGCATTCTTGAGTAAATTAAAATGTATTCGTCACGTCGCAGATGATAAAAAATTTATGTGTTCTTAATTCATTTATGGACTTTAGCCCT